GTGATCTCAGGTGCTCCGGAAGGGTATGCAGATCCTGCTCCACTTGTTCCACATGCGACACCCGTATAAATTGATCACTACAAAGGCAATTACTATAGGTCAAACAAAGTCGAGTCTAACAATTTATGACCTTAATAAAACATAACTTTATTTTCTTATAGACTACGTGAATCGTTATTCTTGAGGAAATGCTGAACTATCTCTCGCTCTCCTGTCACAAGAACAATTTCCACTGCAATTATATTATATAAGAGACATTTTATACAAGTCTTCTAATCTTTACTAAAATTCACAATCTGAAAGCTACATGTTTGTACTTTGATGTTATTATATTATGCCGTATTTCTAAATATATGCCTAAATTTCAATTGCCTAAAATTGGATCAGAATTGCAAACGCGGTAGATTGTGGAACATTTTTATAGTGTTTGCACGATTTAAAGCTTGATATATTCTATAGTTGCCATCAAGATGTCTTTTTGTTGTTTTTGCAGTTTGGTTGCTTCATACTTATTAATACCCCACAACCTCAGTACCGACATGATTAATAACAATCTTTTCTAAAACTATCCATTTATAAAATTTGAAATTATAAAGAAACTAAGGTTTCAACTTAGGCAAAGTTGACTTTAGATGGTTTTGGCTATTTTGTAGACCTTTTTGGTAATATAGTTCTTCAACTTTTTCGATTCTTATCAATCCTGGCTTTCAAAAATTCGGCTTTGAGCGTTCCTGATGAAGGTAAATCCAGAAAAGCGCTTCGGGCGCATGCAATTTATAACGTGTTGTTTTAATATTTTCCAACAACTGTTATTCACAGAAATGCTGGACCATGTCAAACAATTAGGTTATGCTAGAGTTTTTTCTCTTTAACAAGTGCAACTTTATTATTCATGATATGGGATATACCATCATTCATTCAAAATACAGAACAACTCATTGAAGATTACTAATCGAATACTCGTTTGCTTAAACGAGAAATACACGAGAACTTTCTCGAAAAAATATTTTATACAAAATAGGAACAGCACTGGTTCTTTTCTAATGGACGTTAAACCTTTAAACTATAAATAGTCCCAGAAATTATATACTCGCACATGTACCAAAATGAATAAGACATTTCAAATAAGTAAACAATAGTCTAATCAATAAATCGATTAACACCTTTCGTAAATTATCCCATTTCCAAAAATGTAATAACTAAAAGTCGCTGATGCGTTCAACCTTTCACTGAGGATCAGCAATATGTGACGAATTTGTTATCAAGAAACTTTATCTTTTCTATTATTTCAGGGGAGAGTATTTGTAACTAACGGTTATGTAGATGAACTTATTTTCTCAGATGGTAAGATACCAAATGGATAGTCAAAATCGTAAGTTGAAAACAAACTGAGAATGCCATGATATAAACGAGAAACCACCAAAAGACAAACAGTAGTCTGCAAAACACAACATAAAAATAAACTAAAGACCGAGCTACATCGACCCACCGAAAACCGGAGGTGTTCCGGAAGGGTATACAAAATTGTATGTTCGCCTAGGAAAGCATTTGACGTGTGTAACCCACTTCTTCAAAAGATATATATTGAGCCTTCGATAGAATTTCGAAACTGAAGATATCAAAAGCATTTTTAACGTTAATTTAACACTAACATACCAAACGTATTTTATCGCCAAGTTGATACGATATTCAAGTGCTTCCATTTCCTATCATGATTTCCTTAACAGAGGGTTGCTGCTCACAAGGAAGCTATTGAACCAAGATTTCCACATAGTGAAGGTGGAGTCATCTCTTCGAACATTTTACGGACGCCATCACGAGTTGGTTGACCGTTATGGAATATTTGTTTTTGCTATGAATAATAAATCATTACTTTGCCATATAAGCGGGAGGTTTGGCTAGCCATAAAACCAGGTGCAACCCACCATTTATTCTTAAAATGTCCTGTACCAAGTCAGGAATATGGCAGCTGTTATCAGACAGTCCATTTCTATGTATGTTGGAGTATGCTGTTTCTATGTATGTTGGAGTTTGCTTTTGTTGTAGTTCAGTGTTTCTGTTGTTCCGTTGTTTTCCTCTTATAGTTGATGTGCTTCCCTCGGTTTTAGCTTGTTACACGGATTTGTTTTGCTTAATCGAATTATGACTATTGAACAGCGGTTTACTACTGTTGCCTTTATTTAAATCTCTTAGGAATGTTCAGAAGAAAATAAATTCAGTGAAAAAGGAAAACTGACCAAACAGAAAACTATTAGTCTAGTATCATTTTTGAATTAGATACTCGGTACTACCGATCGATACTCTTTGTTACGTTTGGAGGACGTGTTTTTCAACAAACAATCGGCATTGCCAGGGAACAAATTGTGCCTCTCTTCTTGCCGACTTGTTCCTTTATTCCTATGAGGCTGACTTCTTACAGGAACTTCTTTGGAAAAAAGAAAAGAAGTTAGCAGTATCCTTTAACTTTACTATCCGCTATATGGATGATATTCTCTCACTAAATAATTCAAAATTTAGTGTCTATGTTGAACGCATCTATCCCATGGAACTTAAGATCAAGGATACAGCAGATACAGTTAAGTCTGCCTCATATCTTGACTTACATCTAGAAATTGAGTTTGAATGTCCCTCTGGTATCTTTCGCCTATCTTTTTTTGAACATATTGTAAAATTAAATTTCTACCACAATGTATGAACTAAATAAGTATTTCATCGTTACCAGTAAAGATTGAATAAAGCAAAATGAAAACATTATGCATGTATTCATGAAACACCTTTATGATCTGTATTTGCTTGCATGTTGTTATTTTACTGTTCAGTATTGTAGTTGTTTAATGAAGGGATTGTTCTCATTACTTATGAAAAGGTATATAAAAACCCATCAAAGATATTAACACAAATGTGTCAAACGTTTTATACCAATGGCTATCGCAAGCACATCATCGTTTATGACTACAAACTGTTTATTTTCAGTTATAAGAGATGTGTTACAATCATATGTCTTTACTGATACAATACGCACATGCATGTTTTTTTTTTATTATATGGACGTACATCCACGTCAGTTAAACTCTGGTGAATAGTTGTTTCATTGGCAATTATACCACATCTCCTTATTTTTATATTCATTAATAATACTTTTTCGGACATTTGATAGATCATAATGATACATGTATCTAATGTATAAATTAGCAAATAGTTTGTGGAAACAGAGAGAAAAGTACAAGTACAAGTAGTGCTTAATATTGCATATAATATCAAATGAGGGATTCGGGATCCTGTGAGCCTTTAGTTCCTAAATTCGAAAAAAGTACCTTTTACGCTGAAATCGAGCTATCGGTAATGCCATCATGTTACGTTTAAAAGCATACAGGTACCAATTTTACTATACCAGATGTTCATTTCAACAATTAATGTCTGTTTAGTGATTTTCGAATCAAAAGTGTTTGAAAATTAAAAAACTTATTCCAACGTCGAAGAACTGATAAAACCCCAAAAGGACCAAAGTAAGGCCTAACGCGGACATAGAATCAGCGCTATGCACGACTGAGATAAATCCTTAAAATAAGTACATATATACGATGTCACATTTATAACAGCAAACGTAGATAAAACAATATCAGTATTTTTAACCCATACTAAATAAAAATGTCAAAAACAGGTTTTTGTTACAATATTTTAGATTTACAACTTTTCTTGTATATAAAAATCTAACACCGCAAAAAACATGTTGCTGGTGAGTTGAGACACAGATACTTCGTATCGGTCAACCAATTACTATTTTTGACCGCAAAACGTATGTCATGTCGATTGCACTCATTCTTCGTCAAGTCTGTTGAAACAGTTATTATGTCAAGGGCATATATACCCTTATTTATGAATTCCGTATTGTGTGAACATGGACGAGAATAACAGTTTTAATTACAACACCCGAGGTCGACTTGTTTTGATTTCGATTTTATGAAATTCATGTAAAAATAAGATGAGGATGATACCAAGGGGACTCACATAAAACATGGCAAAAAACGAAAGACGACGTAACGACACAGATGTATACAAAACACTACATACTAGACAAAACAAAAGAATGAAATACACGAGCCCTCAAAACAACTGGGGGTATTCTTAGTTGCTCGGGACGGGAAGTAAAATCCTGCTCCACTAGTGGCAAATTTTTTGTTACCAATGTGAGCTTTATGTTCAGACGTGAAAAAATGCCTTTTATAAACAGAGATTTAAAATGAGAAACTAAGAATGTTTCACTAAACAAAAACGGTACAAACAGAAACGTTACCATGTTTCCATTAACGATGTTTACCGGTACCGTAATTTAACAAAAAACTATAAAATTGTAAGAAAATATCATGAAATAGCATCACTACTAAAAGCATCTTAGGTACCTCTTGAACAGTTTTGGGAGAAAAAGACATGTATGCAATTATCAATACAAGAGTCAAAACAAATGTTTAAAAATTCAATGATTTCACGGTTACTTTTTTTACATCTATTCAAAAAAATTATATTAGATATTTACAATAAAACAAAACTCTTTATTCTAGTTGAAAATATGCTTATTCAAAACAATTTTCAGAATTTTTCCAATGGATTTAAATTTTTAGTTCTGGTAATGTATATCCATCATTTCAAAATGTACCTGCGTCGATAGATGTAATATGCCAAACTAACTGTCAAAATCAGAGCAACTACGCATCCAATAGATAATCCTGCCACTGAACCACTGGAAAATCTTTTCTGCTTAGCGGGCTTTTTCACTAAAATAACAAAAGGTAAAAATAAATCAATTAATGCCAAAAAACAAAAACAATAACCAACCCCAACAAATAATGACCTTTACAAATGTATATGCGCAGCATTGGTAATCTTTGGAATAATTATGCCCCATTGAAACATTCTCCGTTTATTTTTAAATGCAATATAAAATTTACAAAAGTGCTTATCCAAATGAAACCATAATTTAACATCCTACTGGAGTTATTGTTTTAATGGAATGTTTGTAACGAACTATAGTTTTTCTTGTTATTATCTGGAAAAATATAATAAATAAATAAACATAAATCAGTAAATATATAAATGGCATTTGAAGATTTACAAAACATGACAGAAACTATTCATCGACTTCTTGTGGTATGTTTGGCCCTTAAAAACGATATTTTGACTCATTTTAACGTGTGTATCTCCTATCTTGACAGAAACTGTGAATAAAAAAACTCATCAGCAATTCAATATCAACAAAAAATAACATACTTTTCCATATGATGATTTAGACTATCTGAAAGCTATAAAAACCAGATGTCGTATGATTGTCGATGAGCCAATAACAATAACGGTACCAATTTTACTGTATGTAAAAGTTTGCTGATAATAAAGACTTCCAGAACAGATACAACTATTAACCAGAGACCAAATGACGTAGATGGAACCAATGTTAGTATTATAGGTTATTTTTCTCCGCCTGCAATAGACTTTCCTTTTTTTAACTTTTTTTTTTTTTATCAAAACCATACATAAACATGTACTATGGTTTTCCCCACATAAGAATTGAAACTATATTTCAGTATACAAAAACAGCCTATTTACCTTCACAGAATGTACCTTCCCATCCCGATTCACATCCGTGTGAACACACACCGTCAACATTACAGTCTCTGTCAAAGCACGATTCATTGCACTTTTGAAAACATTGTTTGCCATAATTACCCTTTAAACAGTTCACACAGCTTCCGTTTACTGGATTACATGACGTCAATGTGTTATCTGCGGAAGCACATTTCCCACATGACGCATTACAAAATAGTCCAAACTGACCCGTAGCGCAAGTTTCTATACATGAACCACTGTACTTTTCACATATATAACCATTAAATGATCTATTTGAGCATTTTATGCTGCACGTATGGTTACAATAAAAACCGAATTTTCCAGGCGGACACACGGAATTCGTGAAATTCATGGTACAGTTAGTACTATTACATGAAGGTGATACATGAAGGCATTGGCCAGTCACTGGATGGCAAATCAAACATTTATCTGCACAGGTTTCATTGCAGAAACTTCCAAATTTACCAGGAAAACAACCTGACAAACAAACACCTTGTCTATCGCACTTTAAACCCATGCACTGGCTACACGATTTAGAGCATTTTAGACCAAAGAAACCATCCTTGCAACCATCTAAACAGAAAACATGTAAATTGATATAATTCTAAAATTATTATAATAACATGTCATGTGAAATACAGAATATTGTTCTATTTGTGTAATTATTTGGTATGATATATTTTTCTATTTTCATGTGTTGACATATTAATATTGTAACCCTTGATTTGTTTATAGGAGTAAGATTAATTGTTGTTACTTTAAATATTTTAAAAGTAAAATAATTGGTATTTGTAAATTATATTTTGATTTTTTATTATTAGATCATTTGTATAACCACCTGGACAAATGAGAGACTCGATGTGACTCTTTAATTCTGCTGTTCTGTGGGATATTGTATGACAGATACTGTAAAAGCAGACATTTTTGTCCGGATTAAATTTCCTTCATGTCGTGGATGGACATATCCATCAAATAAAACCGCATCGAAATTTTTTAATATTAATTTCACATACTTTAAACAACAAAAATTAATCGCGATGAAAAACAATTTAGAGACAAAACTACGAAAATAAAAAAAAACCCAGAATATTAATGTTTCTACAGTATATAGATGTAAAACAAAAGGGATGGGATAATGTAGATTTACTACCGGTTATGTTATTTCTGTTAACTTTTATTTGAATTAACCTAACTGTATATTCTGAAATGTCTTTATAAAAACCATAATAATCCCTGATAGTTCAACTAATCACATATGGATTTAAATCTATATACCTTCACAAATACCAGTAGTTTCATTACATGTTCCTCCAAGACAGTTACCGCAACCGTAATAGCATTTATTACCATAAAGTCCCGGTTTACATTTAAAGCAATCACCAGAAAACTGATCACAAGTTGCGTTAAAACAACCGTCGCTACAGGAAAAAAAACATGTGTCACCTCTCAGACCATCTTTGCATCCATGTATACATGTTCCGTTGGTTGGGTCACATAAACCTTCACTGCAGCCAGTTCCACATTCTAGGCAATATTTTCCGAACCTATAAGGATTTAAATACCATCCCTGCTTACAACCTTCAAGACAATTTCCTGTACTACCATTACATTTGTCATTTAAACAATTTTCACAAGGTGCGCAAAACCCCCCAAGTACGGGTTTGTAAAACCCATCATCGCAGGCATCGCAACTGGCATATTCAAAATTACGCTTACTTTTAAACTGTGTACATTTTGCACAGTGTGGCGTCAGAAGTGAACATCCGTATTTGCATGTGGAATAATACCAATCAGGTTCACATCCATATGGACATATACCGGTTGTGGAATTACAGACAGTGTCATTCCCAATACAATGACTACTGCATTTATCTACACAGTGCTTCCCGTAATATCCTGACTCACATCCGTCTAAACAAACGCCAGTAGTATTATCACATTTAAAATGTCCGCCCTTACAATTGTCACTACATCTACAACAGCCACCTATTTTCGGATACCAACCAGCATTTTTACATTCGACACAGTGCAACACTGATTCATGTTTTGAGCATTGGTCCACGTTGCATGTACATTGGTCACCAAATGTATTCGATGAATTGCATCCGGTGCATTTTTCACCGTCCCTTGTGCATTCTGTACAATTAGTAGGACAAAAACTTTCGCAGTATCGACCATAATATCCCGCTGAACATACATTACAAGTGCTATTATCGATGCATGAATCACAGTTTCCAATACATCTTTGATGACAATCTTTACCATACCAGCCTTGTGAACAGGTACAAGAACCGTCAAATTTAAAACACTTCGAATTTCGACAATTAACTGGGCATTTAAGGTCACACTTGTCTCCGAACCAGCCTTTCGAACATTCAAAACAAGTATCATTCTCGGTACACGAGTCACAGTGTGATATGCAGTTCAACTGACAGTTGTAACCACCGTAACCAGGTTTACATATTTGACAAATACCATGTGTTTGTTTACAAGACGACTCGCACCTGTCATTGCAATTGTTCTCACATGACTTCCCCCAAAACCCATCATTACAGCCATAAGTACATTCACCGGTATGTTGGTCACAGCCATTACCCTCGCGGCAGTTTGAAGGACAATTCATTTCACAATGATCTCCATAGAAAGGTTTCTTGCAAAATGTACAAAATCCACTTTGGTTACAATAATTGTTGTAACATCTTTCTGGGCAAGTCTCTGTACAGTTTGTACCATAATAGGATCTCTTACAATATGTACATTCGCCTGTATTTCTATAACATCTTATATAGCAGTTGTTTGGACATGTCGAATTACATTCGGATCCATAGTATCCATACAGGCAACTTCCGTTACAATAGCCAGTCTGGTTATTGCATCCATCCGAACAATTTATACAATCTGAAACAAAATAACTTTACGTAATCTCTTCGAAAAGAACTTTTGAACTTCTCATCTGAAACTTTTATTTTTTGCAATTTCTATAAATATATAGAAATGTGTGGCATACATTATGTAGACAGCAACCTAGACACACGTAACAAAAGCAAAAATAATTATAAATGCACAATTGTTTAAACTGGGTTGACTTTCAGTTTGACACTTTGGTAAGTAACCTAGTCTATTACTGATTACCTTTTGTTGACAAACTACGTGTCTTTTAGATTATGCATCGTGTATTTTGTGTCTTTCAGATACAAATTAATTAGTTTCAGATAATGATGTTCTTTGATACACAACATCACGTTAAATTTGCATCATTGTCTTCAACAGCAATATGTAGCTCTAAATATATCTTGATTATATGAAAGTATCTAAAATTGATTTTGATAAATACAATTCATTTTGACTCTTCGAATCTCAGTGGAATTTAACAACTTTCTGAGTTTGACACTGTGATGAGACAAAAAGAGGGCAAATTAGCTCACCACTTTATGTTGTGTCTTGCAAAAATTTTATGAGCATTGTCATTCGGCATTGTGCATAAAATTCTTATAAAGAAACAGATTTTACCATTTCACTCAGTTGTCAACAGTAGAAATCCAATCTCAATAGTTCAATTTTCAATTTAAAAAATGTTTGGTAAAAAACCTCGCTTATAAAATTGATAATTTAACTGTATCGAGTGAACTATAGACACCATCACATTGCTGTGGTAGAGTCATGTACACATATTACAATAAGGAGATGTAGTTTGATTGCCTGTTAGGCAACTATCCACCGGAGACCAAAAGACGAGGATGCAACCAATTTTAGGACATTGCACGGCCTTCAACAATGACAAAACCTTTACTTTATGGAAAGCTATAAAAGGCTTCATTCCTTTCCTGTCATGGTAAAATAGTAACTTTATGTAAGGTTGAAAAACAAAGCTTTGACATTTTCTTCTAAACATGGAGAAAATGAAATGTTTTTCATTTTAAATGAATTGGACTTAACATGAACTTAATACCATAACAATAAATTAATATAATAATTATTATTAATTATTATCGGCAATTTTAATTTAGTGCTACCATGGAAGTATAAACGTTATATTGACGTAATACTTCCATTGTAGGAAAAAAAATTTTGGTGAAAATAATAATAATTATTTTTTAATTTACCATGGTCCTACAGACGACAGTTTTTCTATGTGATTTTATTTTCTTTCTTTCTTTCTTTTTTTCAAATTTTACACCTATTGTTACAAACAAAATGTTTTTGATTATAATTAATTTTATCATTGTAGCTGTTCACGATTCATCATTTATAATTGTTATTTTGTTTAATTCCATTTTCACATTTCACATTCGGTCAGGCTTTTCGGTTAAACAATTTTACATGACCGATGGTTTGTTAATTTTGAGATGTCCTAGGTTCAGATAAGAGTCAATTACCGATCCGTTATTGCGTGATGCTTTATCACTTGAAATAACTTTCAGCGTATTCATATGAGTAACAAGACGGGTGCCACATGTGGAGCAGGATCTGCTACCATTCCAGAGTACATGAGACCACCACCGATGGGGTATTTGTTGCTCAGTGTTTAGTTTTCTCTTCTGATCGTTTTTGTGTTGCCATGGAACTGATTCGGATGGTTCTATCTTCGTACTGATTCTGACAGTTTTATCCTAGTACATGTTTTGATAATTATATCCTATAACTGATTCTGATAGTTATATCTCAGAACTGGTTCTGACAGTTCTATCCTAGTACTGGTTCTGACAGTTCTATCGTAGTACTGGTTCTGACAGTTCTATCCTAGAACTGATTTTGATTTCTGCTATAAAACAGTTCTAGTTGACAGATTAATTTTGACCGAAGTGTAGTTAAAACTGATCCCGACTGTAAATATAGCAAACATTAGAAATCAGCAGTTAAGTGGAAATTAAGTCTGTTTTGGTTGAATTTTTAAATTACCTGATTAAAAACGCAATGTTGTCAACTCTGTAATTTGTCTTTAAAAAAAGCCTATATGGATTTGTATGAAAATACTTGAAAGCTCTCGGAACATTGCCGATTTGTGGTCTGCAATTTCTACCATTTGATTTGCATTTTCCTTTACTCAAGTACAGCATGCAACAGTGGAAAAAAATAAAACATATTTACCTGACGTTAAGGATTGTGTGAGTCATTCCATATTGAAAAGAGATCGATGATATTGGGCCAACATTATTGTTATTGTTGATTTTATGACATGTGTACAATTTAAACACACACAAACACGCACACACACACACACACACACACACACACACACACACACACACGAGATTGAATTTACAAGTTGAATGCTTTTTTCTTAACGTTTCTTTGCAAATATTTCACGCATATTTTATACGTGAAATTCGTAATATATCAATAGATATCAGGAAAATTGGGTTATATTGCCTTGCGAAATGTCACCACCTACGAACCCATCAGAATCGTTGCAAGTGTTCTTTTACATGGAACTTTTTCTACATGATGCACCAAATATAACGTTTTCATTCAACTGGACGAAGCTACGTATTTACACATCCAGGACAGCAAAACGGACGCCCCTCGTTACCATGGGTGTTACTTCCGAATGAAGTTCAGGTGAATATATTACATACGTGTGTGTACCCCCAGTCGACCCTCCGGTGCTAAGGGATGTACATGTGTCTTGTACAAGTGTAAACAATTCAAACAAATCAAATAGCACTTTATAACTTTCGTGCGTCCGAAGCGCTTTTCTGGATTGATCTTCACCAGGAAAACTCAAATCTAAACATGATTTTGAAAGAGTCATGTAAAAATACGTAGACAAGTAAGGATTTCTTAAACATATTGCAATGTCACAATAAATTAATGATTTACCTTTACCTGTAGCAGATTATTATTTGTTTGTCTTTAAGACTAAGATAGCCTCTCTTTTCATGATGCTTTTGTATTTTTTTTGTGAGACTTTTCCCATATAAGCATCCCCAAAACTTCACAATAGCTTTTTGAAATGTTAAAGAATTTGTCGATTTTAAATATGAAACTAGCTACTCTAACGAGTACAAATAACTAAGCTACACAATTGAGTTGTATTGATTAGAAGGATAATGATCTTAAATTCACCATACCAACTAAACCTTCTTTTTTTTGTCGAATTTAATGAAAGTTTTGTTTACTTGTCCCTAACATATAAAAATAGGGATATATGCAATGATTGGAAAGTTTTGTTTACAATTTCTAACTAAAAATGTATCTACAAGTGATCAAAGGACGAGGATATATCCTTTTATATGGAACTGTACTGCCTTCAACCATGAGCAAAATCCATACCGTATAGTGTAAGTTATTAAAAGCATGGGGTTAACAAAATGTCAAACAATTCAAAATAGAAAACCTTATGCTTAAAGCAACAAAACGAACAACAAATAAGACAGACAGGAACAAACCAACACCACGGAATTACATGCTCCTGAATTATGACAGGGACATAAGGAATTGTTCGGTCTTGTAGATTGTAGAGTACTCGCAGTTACTTATAGCTAGGTCACCGCCAAATCAGAGTTTAACAAATGTTGCCAGACTACGGAAAGTGACAGACATCTGTTTTCCCTACATGTATAGTGTTTTACTTTCAGGGGTCAAATAACCGATCGAAATGATCAAAGTGTAAAACCTAAACCTACTAAGGTAATAAATAGATTATAAAACCTTTTTGATACGCTTACTTGACCTGAAAATTGAATTGATATACGTTACCTTATTTTAAAACAACATGAGATATAATACTTAAATTAGAACATAATCATGAAATAATTTGCATTTCAGCAAATTATTATAATAATTAATACTTTACATACCTTGATTATATTCACAGTGTATATTGGTTATAGATACAAACACGAGAGTTATTTCAACTAAAACTAAATGTAAACAAGTTACTTTCATGGTGGCTACAGATTTGTGGATATCATCATTATACGTGATTTTATAATGTATGGCAATATTTCACAATAAATTATTTTGAAAGCAGAACGTGGATTCCCCCATATTTGTAATCCTCTTACTCAAAATACTTTTTGTGTGAAATAGGTTAATATATGTCCTGTTATCTTTTACAAAAGATTACTAGGTTAGAAATAAATATATCACATGGGAATGTTCGGACTCGTGGACTTATTCATTTAAGTATAATTTATAATATAGATTTGGACAGATATTGATGCCTCACACGGTTGTCCATTTGATTTGATTTGAATCATTAATACAAACATAGTTTCCTGCGTTATTACTTGTATATTAGAGTGATAATCATCCTGTGAAAATCCACGTTTTTCTCTGGCAGCTCGCGACACGAATACAGAATAACCTCTCATCTTTTTGCAGTTTGGAAATGCTCCAAAAAATTGAATAAGCATTCATAGAGCAATGAAAATGTTAAACTTTAAATTTTGAATTTTAATTGCGATCGGACAGCTTTGATCCAAAGGGCTGACTAGTGTACTGATCTATAGTCACTCTTTTTCTACGGAAGTTAAACCCACCCTAAAAAGGAGCATCTATGTGGCTGTTCAGTTTATATCAATTCGCAGACTCATTCGAACGGAATGGGACGATAAATCAAATATCTTGCGTAGGCAGAGTGCCACGCTTTTTTAGCGTTAAGGAACCCTTCAAAAACTGATTAAGGGGGTCTGAATGTGACTCGTTAAGTGACCCCAACATTTGACTGGGGTAATGGTAAATTCTTGACTTTTCCGGTGTTGCAATTGACCCTTTGCTAAAATGAAAGAAAAAATGACATACATGTACAAAGACAAATACAAACGAATAAAATATGGACCAGAAAGTATGACTTTATATAGTAGCATGTATGTACACAAACTCCAGGTATTTCGACTCATCGGTTTTCTCAAACGTAAGAATTATTGTTGACAATGTTTAAGTCGCAAGATGTTAGATGCATGTATCCTGACCAACTTAAATATTGACGAAACATGCAGGTAATACAACAACTACATATACACAACTAATTTAGAAGTGGAGCGGATTATTCATTTTTCAGTATTATTGAAAAACTTTTATAATGTTTTAAGATGAAAGTTACGTAAAGAAGGAGTGTGATTGTATCGATTGCTACAAGTGTGTTTGTGTGTGTGGGTGTTTGTGTGTAATGATTTAATTTAATTATCAGCGTGCGATAACATTCCTGCATTGTAATACTACTATAGGTGAACTTATATATTAAATTTTAGAAATTAGAACTGTTCAACATATTTCGTCATCTCAGGAAAATACGTTGTTTATAAAATCAGGTATGACAAACTAGTTTTCTCAGGAGTAAAACCATAAAAATCATAAATTAGCATTAAAAAGACGAAATATTGTAACTTATAATTGG